ACTGCTTTGCAGGGTTTACACGAACGAGACTGTTAAGTTGGTCGAATCGCAGGCACCTTTATTGCTACCGAAATTCACTGAAATTATGCGGCAGCATAACTCAAATGGTGCAGAAATTACTGTCGGTGAATTGCTCTCGAAAAAACGTCTGCTCAAGTTTGTCTTTGTTACTTTTTCATGTTTTTTCCACGGTGATCTGGTACTCTGCAAATTCGGGATGTGCTGTTAATTACCATTAAAACATCGAAAATACGGGGCTGGTGCATCTCTTCTTAACTCTTCGAATTGCCCAAATTTAACTGGACTTATCCGAGGTGCATGATCGCCTAACGTAAAAACGTCAGTTTGCCACCGCAACGCCCCAGTGGACAAAAAACGGCGTAAAAGCGTCTCCCTCAACGAACTGTCCTTGCCTTCCTTCCATCCCAGTACTGAAGACTTGCCGGAATCCAAGTATGCTATTTCTGTGTGCCATCTGTCACAACAAACGTGTGCTTTTCGCAGCACCAACGGAATTAATAAGGCGAGTGTTGCATCTTGGCTCCCTCCTAGGTAGATCGTGTAATGACGCGAAAACGGCCTATGTCAGTATTGTAAGGTAGTATCGATCTAGTGTGGTGTTGCGGTATCGTAGAGGCGACCTAGGCGATTCACGGACCGGACCCTGCCACCCCGAACTATCGCCATGGAGTAGATGCCCCAACTCGATAAGCCGGAGCACCGGGGCAGTCGACGAACTCTTAGCCACCAATCCAGCACGAGGAAGAATGGATCTGAAAAAGCAATAGGCTCTTTTCAAGATTGAACCATCCCTTCCGTAGTTTTCCTTCCGTGCCTTAACAACTTAATGCTGTTAGTATGAGCATGTACATCTGTCGACCGGGCTTTATAAATTTGCTTACACAAAACGGTGGTACTTATCGAGCTGCTCCATAAGTTTCAGTTAGTTTTTCTTTAAAATTTCAGATGTGCCCGCTGTTCGTATCAAACGTTAAGCTTGCACCAGTACAAACGGCACATGAAATCCGACGTGCATGCTAGAAATAATTTAAAAAAGCCTTGTTTCCGGAATTCTTCACCGTCCGGCGACTGTTCTCGCTCCCGGTAATTTGATTTTGCAGGGGTATGCAGAAAAACGAAATTTTATTTTCTCGCTTGGCAAATTTATGTAATTTAGAAGTTGAACCTTTTAGCCTGCCCATCCCCTGATTGGCAGTTTGAGACTATCAAGACGAATCCGTGGTTCAGACCCGCCGTGATTCAAGCGATTTTTGGGTGCCTCCACCTTTCAAAGAGTTTAATTTCAAAGAGTTTGTTTATGCTATCCCGCTTGAGCACCCCTCATTTGCGCCTGAGGGATGGTGAAAACACGAAGATCAGTGATTTCGTTTCCCCGGGTTTTTATGCTAGGCTTGAAGAAATGGTGTTTTTAGCCAACTTTGTTTTAGCGTTACAAATATCAGAACGTTTGCGATTGCAAGATGTCCAAAAAAAGACAGAAAAATCTACGAGAGGAATTCATGAACGCATCAGGGCGTTCTTTTTTTCGCGAAATTTCTAATTCCACTTGTTTTGTTTTTTCTTAAATGCACGGTATATGAGATTTTGCCGATCTGTTAGTAGCAGCTTGTAACGGCACATCACTTTTTAGTTTTTTTTCCTTTCCCCGCTTCTTCGTTTTTCGGAACGAAAATGCTTGTATTTTCCGGAGAAATGCTGAATAATGTTTCTGGATTTGACCAAATGAGGATTCCGGGTCACCATCTCAAAAAGAAACTGTTTCGATGGTAAACTGTAAAAGTGCCTAGGGGAACTCATATTTTATGTTGCTTTTCAGAAAGTTTGTGAAAATGGAAATTTTTGCTTGATATCTTTACTGTACGGGATCATCGTTTTTTCCCGTGTGGGGCAAGAGCAATGAAAGTTTAGGTCAAAAGTTTTTTTGTCATGACGTCTGGTTCAAAAATATTATTATTGTTATTATTATTACCATTATTATTACCA